AATTTACTCTGCCGAAATGCATGTGTGGGCTGGCTGGGGTGCAGGGGTGCTATAGTGCAGGCGCTGCCTGCCACCTAGCCCCTGCACTGTAGCACCCTCGTGCCCCACCCAGCCCCAAAGCTGTCACCCAGAGCCTAGGGTTGACCCTCTGGGCTCCCTGCCAGCTCAGGGCTGTTCTGCCATGGTTCAAAGTGCTGCAGTCCTGGGTGCACGTGCAGACGCTGCACCTGGGAGCAGCTGACTCCTGTGTGAACTGTGCCAAAGTTTATCATGTCGTGCTAATTTAATGTGTAGGTGCACCCTATGTCACATTTACAGATGCATGTCATTCTTCAGCATTTACGGTATATCTTTCTTAACATAGCATCAGTGTTACAGCAAACTATTTTACTTCTGATTTATATTCTACACAAAATGTGTCAGGGCAAAAAAATACTCTTTTTAAAACGTCCCGCTTATGTCATGTTTCCATATAACTTTATGTAGCAAAATATTTGCCTCTCCCCATTACTTTTGGTATAGGGCATATAGATCTAATTTCTATTTTGTGTAAAGGAACAAAGGTGAATACACTATTTTGATGGACCCAGTATTTACTAGAAGGGCTTGCCAACTTTTGGTAGCCTGCCTAGATTTCCTTGGTCTATAACAGCGGTTCACATTGTTTTTAGACTCAAGACATCCCACCACCACATTTTTTTAATGCAGTGGCACCCCTTCCTCAGCTTATCTGAGTGCTTCTCAGCTGGGTTCTGCTGCCAGGAAGGGATGTTCAACTGCAATAAAACTGTCCCCTACTGCAAAGCCAGGTCAGGATGGGCTTTGCCATGTCCACATGCTCTTCCTGCATTAGGGCTCTGATCAGCTTCAGGAGTTACCTCGTGCTGTGAGCTCTTTCTGGTCTGACACCTTAACTACTTCTCCTGGAAACAGAAGTGGGTGGGACAGTTCCAACTGTGCCTGTTTCCCAGAGGAGTGTGGTGGGGGAGTAGAGGGGTGGACTAGAAGGAACTGCATAGCTCACTAGCTTCACTGCCTGCTTTAGGTTAATTAGAGAGCCCTAATGCAGGGAAAGCATGTGGGGCAGTTTTGCCTGCCCACTACCCCTAATGGCACACCCGAGTAGGACCCTGTGGCTCCCTGGTTGAGAACCACTGGTCTATACAGGCCATGTCTACACAAGACGCTTACTGCACAGTAGCTCGTTACTACTGTGCAATAGTGCCACAGGGCACGAACTGTGGGTAACGAGCTACTGTGCATTAGTAGCAAGCTAGTGAGCACTCGCCGTCACCATGAAGCTATACAGGGATGCTACTGTGCAGTAACACTGGTTACTGCACATTTACTACTTAATGACTGCGCGGTAATAACTACGCAGTCAGCGTCTTGTGTAGATGCAGCCACAGTCTCCCAAATTATTCTGGGAAGCAAATTGATGTTTTTTTAAAGTTTGACTATTGCTGTTTCTTCTTTCATAATTCTCTCCATTCTTACCCCAGAGCTGGTCTCTGCCCTATTTCATTTTGTCTGCTTAGCTTTCTACATCCTTTAATTTCAGAGGGTTCCTAAATAGCCTGACATAGCCTGTCAAACTTCTGAGAACAGTATGGCATAACTTACTATAGACTTGCAGCAGCAACAAACCTGTCCAAAAACGTTTTTAGCTTTTTGCACAGCAGATTTTAATCAGGAGGTACTACTGGTAAAGCACTTCTGTATAGGATCTCAGTAATACCATAATTCTTACACAGTTCCAAGTCAAGCTATGCTAGTTGTCCAAAAAATAGTATTTCAATAGCCAAGTTGATGTATTCCATGAATGAATGTGAACATACTGATTCATGTCATCCAAAAGTTGAAAGAAATCAGTATATATACTAAAATATTCCACACGTTTCAGTGTCTTTCTGAATGTATTGTTTTTTGTACAGCTGCATGAGACTTTGATAGTATATTGTTACACATCAGGGGTGGGCAATTATTTTGGGCAGAGGGCCGCTTACTGAGTTTTGGCAAGCCATCGAGGGCTGCATGATAGGCAGCCCAGTGCAGATAAATATTTATTTTCTAATTTTTTTAGGGGCCCTGCGGGCCAGATAGAATGGCCTGGCGGGCCGCATCCGGCCCCCAGGCTGCATTTTGCTCACCCCTGTTACACATATTGATGTCCATCTTTAAAGCAATGTACAACAGCTCTTATCTGCCTGCCTTCTAGGAGTAAACATTATTATCTGATTTAAAAAAAAAAAATTTTTATATGGAATAAGAGAGAAACCGAGTGGTTTGCTAGCGCAGACTAATGCCACGCATAAAATTTGATGAAAAGTCCATTGAAATTTGTATGTCTTTCAACTGATTTCATCATGCTTTGGACCAGGGCTATAATTCAGTAAATTACATTGCCTTGTCGTGGACAAACACTTTACCCTGGGACATATCAAAGTTGTCTTAGAGATACTGTCATGCATGCATGCATATTTTATTTATATAATATAAAATATGCTGTCACGCATTTCTAATATTCAAAGGTTTGACCACTTATATATAAATAAAAAGATATAGACGATATAAAAGATAAATGTGATCATATCTAAAATTATTGATCTAATAAATATTACTGTTATTATTTAGATTTATATTCCTCCAACAACAACAGAATCCCTAGTTGACAGCCTAAAATTTTAAAATTCCACCCCATCCACTACTATCTGCCTATATCGAGTACCAGAATATCTACCAGGGAATTTCTGTAGTCACACGCTTAGAATATTCATACTTGAAATAGAAAATATATTTTCTTCTCAGCACTCACAATTTTAAATGGATAAAAATGCAAAAGTTTCCAGGTAAGGCTAGACATTTGGGATGTTAAAAATGTATTCATGCTTTCTCTATATACAGAATGTTTGTGTGTTCAGCTTTAACATTAGCAGAAAAAGGTCAAGAGGACCATGGGGAGAAAATAGTGGAAGTCCCAGCATGTTTAAAACAACAACACTATTTTTCCAGATCCTTTGTCTTGAGTTCTTTACAAATATATGTGCATTTGCTTTTACTTTTTAAGTCACCTATTTATTTGACAGTGAATGTACAGATTTTTTTTCACTAAAACATCCCTAAATAAAAAATATATATTTCAAAGAAAGTAGAAAAGCCAGAAGTATCTACCACCTCCTTAATCACCATATCAGTATTTTAGCATGCATATATAGCTTTTCATCTTCTGTGATAGTTTTGTGTTTGTGTAGTTTTTCCTTAAATACTCTCTACTTTGCCAGTTATTAAGAGGTGCCAAAGTCATATTATTAAACATTTATAACATGCATTGTTCTTTATAGTGTGTGTACACAATAAAAGCTTTATATATCTCCATAATTCCTATATACATTCCCACAAAGCAAGTGAAAGTTCCTACTTACTATGGACTTTTAGAGGAATACATTTTGATATTACTGCATTTTTAAAGAAAGCATGAGCCAAAAAGTTGGAGAAAATTTTTGTGTCACGGCTTGGGGTCCCCAAGGATGGCTGTGAAGACCCCAGGGACTCATGACCGTGCCTGCTCCTCCTTGCGGGTGCCTTCTAATCTCACTTGCCATGTCTTGTTGGTTGAAATAATAAATTGGGAGGCTGCCCATGAGTTTGTG